TGGTGGTGGTGGTGGTGGTCGTTAGATGCTTGCAGCTTCGAGGCACTGCGAACCTTGTCCCTTTATAGTCAGTCAAATGTCCCCTGTGTCGTCAGCAATCTTGTCGGTCCTATCACACATTGTTAAGTTGCTCTTTGCACACATGGCATATGCTCCATCAGGGCGGTCCCCTATCACCCCCAAACAACTGGTGTCCTTATAGTGCTACTTAGCAATCACCGATGTCCTGTAACAGCCACGCTTCTGTCATTACTAGAATATCAGTAGATGTGCCGGCCATCAGTATCCTCAGTACGTCGAGCTTGGAAAAATGTCTCCGGGCGTTTGTCCGTGCTTAGTGTATCGAGTTGGCCAATACTGCGTTACTACCGCTATAATGACCACTGGCAGGTTCCAGGGGAGCACCGCGTTTATATGTATCACTCGTTTCCGGAAAACAGTCATGTTGGCCTCTCTGGCTGCAAGTCTCCTCTTCAGTTCTGTCACTAATTTTGACATTTCAGATGTTTCGCTGGAAAGAAGTACGGCTGAAAAAAATCCCTTGTGAGAGCCTCGAGGTTGTTTTTCCTGGACAGATGCAAACCGGCCTCTTTTTTGCTGTCCAAAACAATTTTAGCAGATCGTGGTCGCCCAGTTTCCAATTGTTGACCAAATTTTTCACGCACTCGAAGTTTGCGCAAATAGTTAACTTCTCATTTGGATTAAGCATATTGTTCAGCAGGTTTTGGGACGTATCAAAGTCAGCGTATACCCTCTCCATCGGGGTAAGTACATTCGACTCCGATAAGCCCTGGATGACTACGCAGTTCCGGCGATCAAGGTGATCCTTTGTTCTAGTTTCGACCGAGTTCAGTATAATTCAGTATATATGAGAGATATAGGCAGAGCCTTGGAAAACCCTATTTACAGATATACGAATGGAAAGCATGCGCATATTTACATAAAATTTATGCCAATCATTGATACCAAGTAAATGTTTGATCATCAAACATAAATTTATCTAACCTTCTTTTGGAGTTCTCAAGGACTTCCGCTAAGACAACTGAGTTCGGCAATTCGTTCCACCCTTCAGGCAGCCGGTGGGAGAAGAATTGGGACTGCAATTCAAGTATGGAATATATTACCTTCATCTTGTATTGGTGGCCTCGAAGATTGGTCTGTCGCGCCAGTTCGATGAAATCGTCAGACTGAAGAGCACAGTCTAGGCCTCTAACGATCCCAAATGTCATGGTTATACGTCCTCTGTATTGTCTATAAGAGAGGGAATATTTTTAGCTTTTCCTGGCGTCTCTCATTAGATAAGCATTTTGTTATGGAGAGCGAAAGCGGCGTAGAGCCACGGCCTAAGGCGCCAAACAAAGGACCAAGTCGGCGACGTGAGTCACGCGCGAAGTTAGACAACCGACCGGCGCGCACTGCAGCGCCGAGCACGCGTGGTGGTTTTGCTCACGTGTGCGGCCCAATCAATGGATGGCCGAGCATTCCAGACGTTTCCGCGGCGGGGCTATCGCGCACGCGGTGGCCAATCAGCGACCAGCACGCTCGGGACAGGAACATTCTAGAACGCCCTCTACGACTGGCACGTCATTGGACGGAATGTTCCAGAACGCACGGGAGCCAATAAATAGCACACTTTCTTACGAGTTAGGACTCCCTCCTGTCCGCAAGTTCCAATAAAGTGCTTGTCCTCCGAACGGGCTCTCTTCCTGTCCTACCTTCCTACCGGGTCATAACAACTGGCGACGCAGGTGCAGCAAAATGATATCAGAAGAACAAATGAAACACATACTGGAGGCCCAGCAGGCCAGCTTCATGGCATTACTCACGGAAATGCAACGAAATTGGGGACCGGCATCCAGAGAGAACAAGAGGAAACAGGTCGAACAACGGATCAACGAGTTGGTTTACGATCCAGAGGGAGGCGTAAATTTCGAAGCCTGGTTTCGAAAGTACGAAGGACTGTTCGAAGAGAAGGGAGCAGAACTGGACGACAAGACGAAAGTGGAAACCATTCTGCTAAAACTGGCCCAGCGGGAACACGAGCGGTACGTAAAGTTCATTCTGCCTCAGAAACCATCAGATGTCTCGTTTAAGGACACAGTCAAGCATCTGAAAGCATTGTTCTGTTTTACAAAGTCGTTATTCAATCGACGTTATGAATGTTTCAAGCTAGAACGTAAGCCTGAAGAAGACTATTTTGACTTGGCCGGTCGAGTTAATGATACTTTTCAGCAAGCCGAGCTAGAACAGGCCACCAGCATACAGATTAAAGCACTATTCTTCATTAAGTCGTTGACGTTGCCAGAAGATGCAGATGTGCGCACGCGGTTACTCGCCCAGCTAGACCAGAAAGGCGATATGACAGTACAGGAACTGGCAGAGGAATGTGTCCGAATCACAAATATCAAGCAAGACACCCGGCTTATTGGAAGCATAAATAGTCAGCCAGTTTACGTTTTCGACACAAAATCGAGATAACCACAACCAAATAGAGTTTCTCCACGGAAGCCAAAGACGGCTTGTTGGCTGTGCGGCGGCTGGCATTACGAGAGTGAATGTCCTTATCGTAGTAGGAAGTGCTACAAATGTTCCCGTGTTGGCCATAAAGCTTCACATTGCAGAGCAGCGCACACTAGCCCAAGAAAGAATTGCCATGTCGTTTTAGAAGACGATTCGCATGTACTCAACTGTGAACACCGGAAATGCCTGACAGTGAAGATTAACAAAAAGCCGATCACATTACAAGCAGACACGGCTTCTGATCTGACCATAATCAGCATGCGCACATGGGAGGACATCGGTTCTCCAGAATTGACACCATCAGAGATCATAGCGTGGGCGTCGAACGAGACGCGTATGGAATTTGAAGGCGTTTTCCAGGCGACTGTCAGTTTTCGAAACATGACTTGCCTCGCAGATGTCTATGTGTCGAAGACCCGTAACAATCTTCTCGGAAATAAGACGATCTCCGAACTGGGATTGTGGAACCGTCCCTTTGACGAAATTTGCAGCGCGGTGCACAACACTACTGAGGAGGTCCTGAAGAATAAGTATATGGAACGCATGGAGAACGCGGCCGGCAGGTGCACGAAAATGAAGATTAGTTTGAAAGTGAAGACGGAGAAAAATCCAATCTTCAAGCAGAGCCGACGAGTCCCGTTTGCGGTACAGTCGTCCGTAGAAGCTGAACTAGAAAGACTACAGACAAAGGGCATAATCTATTCTACAAATTATTCTGCTTGGGCTGCTCCAGTCGTGGCGGTGAAGAAACCCAACGGACAAATACGATTATGTGCGGATTATTCAACGGGCCTGAACGACGCACTAGAAGATTATTATTACCCGCTGCCAACCTTAGAGCAGATTTTTGCTACTCTAAATGGAAGGAAAGTCTTTGCAAGGATCGATCTATCCGAAGCTTACTTGCAAATGGAGGTGGACGAGAAATCGCAGGAACTTTTGACCATTAATACGCACAAGGGTCTCTTCAGATACACTCGCCTAAACTACGGCGTGAAAACGGCGCCTAGTGTGTTCCAGCAGATTATGGATACGATGCTTACGAATGTTCCCGGGACTATTGCATATCTGGACGATATTTTGGTTGTCGGTAGCTCAGAGGAAGAGCTGACTCAAAGGCTGGACCAGGTTGTGGACAATCTGATCGACTACGGCCTTAATATAAATATGGAGAAAAGTGAATTTTTGCGGAAGGAGATCCACTATCTCGGGTTCATAGTCAACGAGAATGGGCGTGCCCCTGACCCAGAGAGGGTGAAGGCATTCCAGAACATGAAAGTGCCGAAGAACACGAAGGAGCGGCAATCGTTTATGGGGTTGGTCAGCTACTACGGTCCGTTCATCACTGGGTTGCACAGTTTAAAACCTCCACTCAGCCGACTTCTGTGCAAGGACGTGGAGTTTATTTGGTCACCAGAATGTCAAAACGCATTTGATGCCATAAAGACAAAGATATGCGACTCAACTATGCTATCGCACTTAGAGGCTGACAAAGAAACCATTCTCCAGGCAGACGCCTCTGATTACGGTTTAGGCGGAGTGCTCCTTCAGAAGGACGCAGATGGGAGAGTACAGCCAATCATGCATGCCGCCAGGTCACTGACGAAGGCAGAACGGAATTATAGCCAGATTGAAAAGGAGGCACTGGCCATTATCTTCGCCGTACAGAGATTCCACCTGTTTATTTATGGCAGACCCTTCACACTGCACACTGATCATCAACCACCGAAGTTCCTTTTGGGTACTAACCGTGGTGTTCCCCAGAACGTAGCTAGGAGAATACAACGCTGGAGTACTATTCTTCAAAACTATGACTTTCAGATCCAATATGTGCCCACTCAGAAGTTTGGAGCTCCGGACGCTTTATCACGACTGAGTACAGGCAACGAAAATCAAGAAGACGTGGTTGTCGCCAGTACGCTAATGCAAGATGATGACGAGTTTAGAGGTGTCATCCGGCAGTTGCCGCTCACAGCCGAGCACATCAGGACCACCACTGCAGCAGACCCACTTTTGCGCCAGGTGAAAGAGTTTATTCGGAACGGTTGGCCCAGCGACGACAAAGTACACCCATCGATAAAGCCTTTCAGGAACAGAAAGGAACAGTTGTATATCACGGAAGACTGCATAATGTACGATGGTAAAGTGGTGATTCCAACCAGATATCAGCAACAAGTTTTGCGGCAGCTCCATGCCGGACATCAGGGTATGACCCGCATGAAACAACTGGCCCGCAAGTACGTATATTGGCCGGGAATTGATAACGACGTGGAATCTTTTGTTCGAAGCTGCGGCCCGTGTGGACGTAAGGCTAAGAACCCACCGAAAGTACCGCCCGTGCCATGGCCAGAGGTAACGAGACCTTGGAGTAGAGTCCATATGGACTTTGCGGATCCGTTTTTCAACCGAATGTTTCTAATTGTTGTCGATGCATGGTCCAAGTGGCTAGAAGTTTTCGACGTCTCGGCAGCTACTGCTGATATCACAGCAAGGAAGACGGAAGAACTAATAGCGAGATACGGCATCCCCACGGAGATTGTGACGGATAACGGCACTCAGTTCACGTCATCAATCTTCCAACAACTGTGTCAGAAATGGGGAAATCGACATGTGACGTCACCACCATTCCATCCACAATCAAATGGCCAGGCAGAACGGTTCGTCGACACGTTAAAGAGAGCGATGAAAAAGATGTGGAACACTGGTGTTAAACTGGAGTATCTCAACACATTCCTCTTTGCCTATCGAACAACTCCAAGAAGTGATCTTGGGGGCCAGACACCAGTTGAACGGTTTTTGGGACGACAGCCGGAGACGCAATTACAGTACCTACAACCGGAAGCTCGAGTTCCACAAGCAACAAAATATTACTTTCGCGAGGGAGAGGAGGTGTTTGCTCGCAACTACAAAGCCGGAGAGAAGCCCTGGATAGAAATTATAATAAGAAAATCCAGAGGTGTTGTGTTCGAGGTGGAGACAGCAGCTGGAAAAATAAACAGGCATGCAAATCAGCTCAGGACTAGACACACCAGGGACAGAGAGGTTCCAACCCCCACGGTAGACAGTCAGACAACATTACCCGTCGTTCGTAGAGGTAGCAGAAGAACGCAACCGCCAAGGAAACTGGTCTTGGACCCGAAGAAGAAGAGGTACGAGGTCCAACTTTCAAAAGCGGGAGGTGTTATGGAGAGCGAAAGCGGCGTAGAGCCACGGCCTAAGACGCCAAACAAAGGACCAAGTCGGCGACGTGAGTCACGCACGAAGTTAGACAACTGACCGGCGCGCACTGCAGCGCCGAGCACGCGTGGTGGTTTTGCTCACGTGTGCGGCCCAATCAATGGATGGCCGAGCATTCCAGACGTTTCCGCGGCGGGGCTATCGCGCACGCGGTGGCCAATCAGCGACCAGCACGCTCGGGACAGGAACATTCTAGAACGCCCTCTACGACTGGCACGTCATTGGACGGAATGTTCCAGAACGCACGGGAGCCAATAAATAGCACACTTTCTTACGAGTTAGGACTCCCTCCTGTCCGCAAGTTCCAATAAAGTGCTTGTCCTCCGAACAGGCTCTCTTCCTGTCCTACCTTCCTACCGGGTCATAACACATTTAATCTGCTGACCAGTTTGGTCGCTCTTCGTTGTACGTCCTCCAATAGGGTGTAGTTGCGTTTCATGCATGGACACATGCCCAAACGCAGAATTCCAACATTGGTCGAACAAATGTTCTAAATACTTGGCGGCAAAGTTCTTCTTCAAAATTAAGGAAGGATCTTCTAATCGCGCCTAGGATACTCATAACTTTCGTTGATACCTTGGCGCAGTGAGACGAGGGTTTGAGAGTTGACGTCATCCACACGCCGATGTCTCTCGACTCATTGACTGATTCGAGTTTCTGACCTCCTATAGAGTAGAAAGATTCACATCTGAACGGCCTCCTATTGACAGATCGTAATAGGATAAGTTGGCATTTGCTAAGGTTGCAGTCAAGACACCACTAATTACACCATTTTTGCAAACGATTCAGATTGCTTTGTAACTGTAAGGAGCATTCCGGCTACTCTATTGATTTCCGAAATTTGAGACCATCGGCAAAAATTAGGCGCTCACAGTTCAGACATTTCAGGCAGTCGTTCACATATAATAATAATTATATTTAATGCCGGTTTACAGGCACTGTCAGGGAATCGTTGAACACATATCCGGCCAGCAGTGAAAAAAGAAACTCCTGTTAAAAAAGAATAAAAAAAGTTGATGGTGGCTTTTTATAGCTTGCAGGGTCCAGGGGGAAAAACTGCTGCACATGAAATGCCGACAGTCGAGAAAGGGAGGGATAGCCCTAAATCGGATATTATCAGTCGCCAATTCTTTTCATGATTTTGGAGCTGGTCCGAGCAGAAGCGCCGAAGAACAGCTGTCGTTATTGGCTAAAAAATTGTCCCTGGTGAGACCGGCCATAGAGATCAGAAACCACGAACGCCATCGATACGGTATAGTCGACAATTGGATTCAGCACCAAAAATTTGTGGGAGGCTTTCCGAATGCAAAAACCAAGTAATAGTTCGCTTTAAAAAGGATAATTTTGCAGAGTTTTCACATTCCCGGGTAGATTATTCCATATAGCAATTGCACTTACAGAAAAGAAGCGACGATATCTAACGTCACATACCAGAGGAAGAAATAAAAAGACCTCACGGTGACTGTTGCGTCGGGGGTGAACATGATGTCTTAAAGAAGTGAGTGGGTTAAAGGTACAATTCTATAAAAGCTTAACTAGCATAGTCACTTTTGTAATCTACGAAACCATAGAGGATCAAGGCCTGTAAACCGGTAGCGTTCTTGGTAAGACAAATGTCGGTGTTCCACGGCTAAGACTCTTTTGGTAAAAAAATGTTGAACGGATTCTATTTCCTTCCGTTTATCAGCACCCATGAGGCTAAATAAAAACGAACAGTATTCCAGGCTAGGTCTAACATACATATTATAAAGACGCATTCTTATGTCACTAGTTTTAAAGTTTCGGAGGATAAACCCGCTCGTTCTACGTGCTTTGGAGACTATCAGGATGCAGTGTTCCGAAAGATTGAGACTCTTGGAGTACGATACACCCAGATCCTTAATAACCCAAACACATTTGTATCGCGACCGTCAATACTTAGTTAAGGTTGGTGGTCGTCGCCAACCCCCATGACTGAGCACTTATGTTGCGGCGCCTCTGGGCAAAGTCCTGTACGTCGCTCATAAGAAGCTCAAGCCCGATGTCATGATCTGCCGGCTTATACGTGTACGCAACTTTCAGATCATCCACATACATGAAGGGTTTACCATTCTGACATAATTCTGGTACATCGTTGAGAAAAAGGCAAAATAATAGCGGCACCAGTACACTACCCTGAATGACTCCACTCCTGACACATATGGGGTTGGAGAGAGCATTTAAAATCTTACCTCGTTGTGTACGATTACCCAGGTCAATTAAGAGTGGCGTTCTTCAAGGCACGGTTCTGGGTGCGCTACTCTTCCTTCTTAACATTAATGATATTTCGACTGAACTCGGAAATTCGCAAACTTTTATTTATGCCGATGACCTCAAGTGTGTTTAGTCATATTCTAACGACACCGCAAACGTTTGTGTTGAAAAAATTAATGCCAATTTACTACGCCTAAGCAGACGGAGTTCAAAATGGCAGATGGAATTTTTCATCATTCAAGTGTACTTTCATGACTTTTGCTTCTGAGAAACTACCTGCTTCCTTAATTTTTCAAAATAACCCACTGTTGGAATGATTTACACTAATGGATCTAAGTTTAAGTTATACAAATAAACTTGCTTCATCACCTCTTGCAGATAGAATCTCTACCATAGCCGCGCAGATATGTGTATTCATATCACATGAGAAGAGCGGGCGGAATCACCATGGAGGAGTTGCGCGTGGCATAAGACTGATCTCTTGGAGTGAGAGTGTCAATGAGCGGATGATTCGGGCTAGAATTAATGCGAAGAAGGAAGCAAAGGCCAACTTCGAGTCTTTTAACCCACGAACACTCAATTTTCGCCAGCTTACATCGCTGAATATAAGAGCTCCCGGGGGCGACTTGAAAGAACATTTTCCGGGTGAAAACCCTCTTAACATTTTCGATTTTATTACGTTCATTAAATTTTTCTCCTGCAAAATTAATTCATTCGTTTTTAAATTTTTAAGTGGAGCTTTTTCCCCTCCCGCTAATCATTTTTCTTAACGGACTACAAATTCAGAAACTATGAATTGCATTTTGTACAGATTTTGCATGCCTCGTCTAAAATTCGCATGTAAGTTTACTTTTACTTGCTTTGATGGGGTCCCGACGAGTCTTTCATAAAAAATAATTATAGCAGACAAGTGGCTTGGAATGTCTCGCAGTACAAAATTATGCCTGCGTTTTATTCCCTCCTCTGTTTCGGAGTCCATTACTCCAATAACTTTGAACGTTTGTTCAACCGCTCTTTCAAAATTGCTGCTCATATCGCCATTTATCAACTGATGTAGTATTTCGTCGGCTGATGTCTGTTACGACTAGCAAAAGAACAGTTTGGGCGATTAAAGGGTCCAGAGGTTTTATATGGACTAAAGGGGCTTTTGAGTTAACCATATCCAGAGAAGGTAACGAACACATGCTGGCACCTGCTGCGTCTCTGGCCACGATTCTGGCACTCAGACACGGCGGGAAAGCCTCAAGCTGTCGTCTTTTAGCACGTGTTCTTCGGGTCATTACAGGGTACTAGATAGGTTTTCCGTCGCAGCACAAGGATCAGAACGTTGCTATCATACGACAAAACACACTGTTATTTTACTGCAAAAACTAGAATGAGACGGTCTGACACAAAGTCACTAAAAGGCACTTTATAAAATACGGTTACTTTACGAGATTGCCTAACAAGACTGGGAAAAATTATATCCGGTAGTGAAAAGCGACTTTCAACAAGGACTTAAGTAGAAACTAGGTATTAATTGCTTGTGAATATCAAAGTATAGGCCAAGCCTCACTTATATTTGAAATTGAGCTGTGCGCCTCGACCTTTGATTTCACAAAAAACCTCAGGCAAAGTATTATAAGTTTCAACCGCTCTGTTGGAGAAGAGCATCCGTGTGTGTAGCTTGCCAACAGTAACACGTAATTTGAGTGGATGCCCACTCAGGTTCATCCTAATCGTTAACTCGAAGAAGTCTCCACATACGGGACAGCAGTCGTAATCGTGTAGGGTGCGGAAAGCTTGAACGAAGTCAGCACGTTGTCGTCCGTAGCTCAAAGGAAAGAACTTGAGCTTATTTATATTTGAAGGGTTAGAGGAAGAGCCCGTGGTGACCCTGTTTATGTACAGTGATTTCGCATGTCCCCATTCAAAATGGAGTTGCAAACATTTGAAATGTGTTCGTATCACAATACAACCGTAATAATAAGGAAGTGCATCTGTTCACTGTGAGTCAGTGGGAAATATTGCGTGTGAGAAAGCGTTTTATAAAGCTGACTGTGAGTAGTCATGTTGCAAAAATCGGCCTTTGTTGAGAAATACTCGAGCAAGGCTTAATACTTTTTATTAAAGACCCTTGGAGTCCCATCATTGGAGGTGAAATTTTTATAGGGACTTTAGAACGGGTAGGCAGAATCTTCATAGTACTCAACTCATGATTATTTAATAAGCAGGTTGGCCCGAAAGATGATTAGAGAGTAGTGAAACAACTCCTTTACCTAACAAATAAAATGTGATTGGATGAACTTTAAAAAAGCAAAAACTGTTGACCATAAGAGCGCGGGCAGGACCTGCCTGTAGGTGATAGCGTATAGCGTGTTTTAAGCGGACATCGCCAGGGCAGAAAAAAATGTAAGCATGTGAGGACAAGTCTATGTGTCAAAACTGACTGGCTTGCGTGCGGTGGCTTATAAGGTATTCCACATGGGCATCGTCAAGACATAATTAGTACACCGAATGAGACTATTTGGGTCAACGTGGCGAGAGTAGAGGAACCAAGACGCGATCGGTCACAGTCAGCTTCGAGCGCAACCGAGGAGATGGGCAAGGGAGATATGACCATAGGGCCTCTTTGCGAGCCGACCAGGTTACTAGCAGATGGCGAATACAGAAGATTCCACTGTGATAGTCGACAGACCGCTTGGGATCGGGATGTGGAGATGACATAAGATCCACGAAAATTACCCCTGCGGGGTAAGAGTAAGAATAGTGGATTAACTAGCCAATTAAAAACAAAAAGCTGTGAAAGTTGCGATATGTTCCACTTG